CTGGTTAAATCCCAGAGTAGGCCTTCATGCATGATGTTTGCTTCACGAGATAGTGAGTGAATGCACATGGCCTGAAACCATGATTAGGCATGTTCGAGATTTCTGTGAATTGACTACCACAAAAGATCCTAAGAGATTGTATTTAACTGCATTGAGCAAATGAAGACGAGCTTCATTAAATGTGACAACTCCAAGAACATAGTTATGAGGTTTTCTTCAATCAACAATAATAAGAGCTCAAACAATAATGATCTAGTAGATCATGAAAACATGATAACTACGCTGACTTATTTACTAAGTCTTCGCCTAAAGTCACTTTGGAAAAGTATGTTAAGGATGCTGACTTGCGTAGATTATACAAGCTTGCTCCCTTATAGACAACAGGGGGAGTTAACGTGAGGGGGCCCTGTAGGTACTTAATATCCAGAAGATACCCCGATGCCCTATTGTACTCCTTTTCTTTCGTGCGATGTTTATTTTTCCCAAAGGATTTTCGTTAATCGCCAAGGTTTTAACGAGGCAATATATGTTGATTGAAAAAATTGTGTTGTACTCTTTTTCCTAACCGATGTTGTTTTTTTCCCATTCGGTTTTATTACTCGGAAGGTTTTAATGAGGCAACATGAAAAGCACAATAGTGGTTCGATAGGAATCTCCAAGGGGGAGTGTTGTAAATAATATATAATGTGGTTATTCCTATCTTAAGCCACTCGGAGTTTATAACTCCCCACTACGCCACTAGATTCTCAACTTACCCATTATCCCATAACTCCCTCCATGATCTATGTAGGGTATAACTTATGTGTAACTCCCATGTAACTTCCGGTGGTTTGCACCTATATAAATGAGAATCTCCCCTCCCCTAACGAACCCACAATTATCTCTCTACGGATCTTGTTTACTTGTGTTCTCTCATTCTCTCTCTATTATTATTATTATGTTCTTATGTATTTCCACAATCACAAACCAAATAGCTAGATTAAATAGACGATTTTACAAGAATATGTTCATTTTCTCCGAATAAGACATGCATATTAATGTTGTTTGAACCCATAATAAACTTGTTGTTTACTTTTTATCCATTGAGAGGGATTATTTCAACTTACATAAATATGTTGTCATATATGTGCTAAATGATTTGATTTAGTGAATTAAATAGGAAAATTATTACAAGATTGGGTAATCATTAAACTGAGCAGATGCTTGAAAGTTGAACCTATTATTTTATATTCTTTTAGAAGTGGATCTGGAACCTATAATTTCACATTAAAAGCAACTGTTTACAACTCGTGATTAGTAGGGCCATGATTATTGAAATTAAATAACGTTACCCATGTTATAAGAGATGGTTTATATACTTCACTAAACAATTGGGGGACTAGTTGATCTAAATACACCCTTAATATTTTTTTAAAAATCTTTTGATGTCGTATGCCCTCTTATTAATAACTAGTGTGATACTTTTTTCATTTAAATTTGTTTGGTATCATTAAAACAAAACATTAAAAATAAGTTGCATGTTGGTTATTAAATTAAAGTTGACTTCTTCATTGATTTATTTAAGGGTTTATTAGGGAAAACACCCTTATTCATATTTTCTAATGAGGAAGATCCAATTTTTTTTCCCCTTTTTGAGATACACCCAATTTTGCCAACTTGGCAAAATATATTATATAATTTCCCTTTAATACCCCTGTTTTATTATTAAACGACATTTATTTCCTTTAATACGTGATACGTTGCCTAAAATCACGGAATAAATTTACGTGAGATCATTGGCCGTTATATCAAATCGTGTACAATATTTTTTGAAGATTCTCTTCATCGTTCCAGCGGGTTTTATCGTCTTTGAAGATTTCTGCACCGTCGTGGAAATAGGATCGATTTTTGAGCGTTTGTTGTTGGACGTTGTTAAGCGGGTATGAGTGCGTTATTCGTTTTTATTTTTTGCTCAATGTCCATGATTGTCGTTTAGTGGTTAGAAATTTTTAAGAATTGGGTTGATACTTGATTATATTAAGCAGAACGTTTTTTAACAAAATTATTCCGTCATATATATATCGTTTTTTTTGGCCGATGATGTTTGTTTGGAAGAGGATTGACAGAGTTAGAAGAGGATGGTTCACGCAGATCGGACCAGAGTTGTTTTATATGAGCTTCGTAGTTGGTTTATGCAATAATCCGAATAATTGTCCGCTGTGGTCGAGTTCATGTTTTTATCCCGATCGATAGTTGGTTTATTTGTTTATAACAGCCGATTTAAGTGTGCTGGGTAGTACATTAAAATATAGTTCATAGTTTTTTTTAATTTAGCGTATGGATTTTGCATTTTAAGTTTATTTTTGATGATATTAATGTATTATCATTCAAATGTATTTGTAGTCTATTTAATCATTTTTTAGTATTCTGCATTTTTAATTTTGTTTCATGATTTTAGGTTTTTTCGATGGCGAATTTCGTACGGATTTTGTTGAGGTTTGGTGGGTTGGTTGCTATAAAGAGGTGTTTACGATGTAATGACTCGGTAACTTCGGTTAAGTGTTAAACCGTTGTAATACAGTAGTATACTATTATGAATACCGTATGATACTACCATTTTCATTTTATTATACTATTATGAGATTATTAATGTACTAGAGTTTTTTAACTCGACATATTGGTTTGATTTTGTTATGATGTGTTTTATGTATTTAATCAAAACCCTAGAATGAAATTATGAGATTATTAATGTACTATTTTATTGGTTATGTGGAATACTTTACGTTGGTGTTGTTCTCAATGTTCTTGTCATTTCAGTGGTATATTGTTTGTAACACAATTTCATATCACTACTATAACCGTAATATACTATCATAGCAGATTAATGTACTATATTGAAATTATTAATATACTATATGTGGTTGAGTAATACGGGATCCATAGTCA